CTTGGCCCGGAGGCGCTGCGTGGGTCGGGCGGCGTTCTGCTAAACAAGAAGGGTGAGCGGTTTGTCAATGAGCTTGACCTCCGTTCCGTGGTCTCCAACGCCATCATTGAGCAGGGCGACGAATACCCCGATTCAGGCGGTAGCAAGTTTGCCTTCTGTGTGCTCAATGACGCAGCGGTGAGGCTCTTCGGCGTGAATTCCCACGGCTTTTATTGGAATCGTCTTGGTCTTTTTGTAAAGGCTGACACAGTGGAAAAGCTTGCGGCACTCATTGGATGCCCTGTGGAGAATGTGCGGAATACGCTGGGGGACTACGAGCAGCTCTCAAAAGAGAACCGTCAATGCCCCAAGACTCGCAAGATTGTCTACCCGTGTGTGGTGGGACCGCAGGGTCCCTTTTATGTTGCCTTTGTGACGCCGTCGATCCACTACACAATGGGCGGCTGCCTCATCTCGCCCTCGGCAGAGATGCAGTTGGAAGAAAACACGACCTCCCCCTTTGGCCACCGCCGTCCTATTTTTGGCTTGTTTGGTGCGGGCGAGGTGACGGGCGGGGTGCATGGCGGAAACCGGCTTGGTGGCAATTCGCTGCTGGAATGCGTCGTCTTTGGCCGCATTGCTGGGGATCGTGCCGCGACTATCCTGCAGAAGAAACCTGTGCCGCTGTCATTTAAAACCTGGACGACAGTGATTTTGCGCGAGGTGCGGGAGGGTGGAATGTACGGAACTGGTTCTCGTGTGCTGCGGTTTAATCTTCCGGGTGCCTTGCAGCGTTCTGGGCTTCAACTCGGCCAGTTTATTGCCATCCGCGGTGAGTGGGATGGCCAGCAGCTCATTGGGTACTACAGCCCCATCACATTGCCGGACGATCTTGGTGTCATTGGCATCCTGGCGAGGAGTGACAAGGGGACTTTGAAGGAGTGGATTTCCGCCCTAGAACCAGGCGATGCGGTGGAGATGAAAGGTTGCGGTGGCCTGGTGATTGAGCGCCGTTTCAGCGAACGATACCTGTACTTTTCAGGTCATGCGCTGAAAAAACTTTGCCTTATTGCCGGCGGCACAGGTGTGGCACCGATGCTGCAGATCATTCGTGCCGCACTCAAGAAGCCGTTCCTTGAAAATATCGAGAGCATCTGTCTCATCTACGCTGCCGAAGATGTCTCGGAGCTCACGTACCGCGAACTGCTTGAACAGCACCAGCGAGATTCAAAGGGAAAGTTTCGCAGTATTTTTGTTTTGAATCGCCCTCCACCAGTTTGGACTGACGGCGTTGGGTTCATTGACAAGAAGCTTCTGAGCTCATCCGTACAACCGCCGGCAAAAGATCTGTTGGTGGCCATCTGCGGCCCGCCAATTATGCAGCGCGTTGTCAAGACGTGCCTGAAGAGTCTTGGGTACGACATGCAACTAGTGCGTACTGTCGACGAAGTGGAAACCCAGAACTCATCCAAGATGTAATGCTTATTATTATTATTATTATTATTGCTTCTTTTATCTTCATTATTATGTTTATTTATGAATACAATTATTATGAGGGAATTCCGTTCCTGTATGCTTTTTGTTGTTGTTGTTGTTGTTTTTTGATATAATAATAATAATAATAACAATAATAAAGCAATTCACGATTACTCTGACTGCGTGTTGAACTATGAACGCAGTGGTGGTGGTTGTCGTCGCCTTTCTCTTTGTCAGCGGTAAGGGGACGGTGTGAATGGATGGATGAGAGGCACGTGCGATGGCACACGCAGTGACGTGAGTTGTTGTTGTTGTTTTTCCAATGTGTGTGTGTGTGTGTTTCCGTTCCCGAGTGAGTTGTTTATTGGCGAGACTAACACATGTCTGCCTTGATCGCACCACACCAGCCTCCCAGTCTGCCCGTAGCGGAGGATGTCCACGAATGGATGGAGACACGAAAAAAAAAAAAAAAAAAAGGAAAAAAGAAACAGGCGTCCCGCTTCTTATCCCATCCGATACGCATGCATACATTCATTTTGTTTTTGTTTATGTACTTCTTGATTTTTTTTTTGTTGTTGTTGTTGTTGACAACGGCAAAGGGCGAGAGTGTGTGGGTCGTCCGGTGGCAGCTGGCGGCTATTTGTGCCTACCTGTACCGTGACTGGGGCTTTGCGCGTTTACACGTCCGTGTAGACACATAAGGGACTTTCTCGCCACCCTCATCCAACAACAAGAGAGAGAAAGAGAAAGAGAGAGAAGAAAAGGGAAAGGAAAGAACCCAATATATACGTATACATTTATTCATATATATTTATATATATGTATATATATATATGTACTGAAACACACACACAAAAAAAAAGCAAGTGAGGAGGATGATCATGATGTTTAATCCACACATTTAAATACATACACAAACATATATATATATATATATTTATTTATAAAGGAAATTCAGCAGAAAAAAAAAAAAAAGAAAAAAAAAAGGAATTTATTGCGCATGTTTTGTATTTTTGATTGATGTAATGAAAACGTATGTCATTTGACTGAGAAACCAACGGGATATTAACTGGCACCCCTTTCTTTTCTTTTCTTTTCTTTTCTTTTCTTTTGCGTTTTCACTATTCCTTCCACAGAACAAAAATGGCGGCGGTAGCTGAGGAGGAGGAGGAGGAGGAGGAGGAGGGTGTGTGTGTGACGGCGTTAACCGTGAGGAAAATATCCTCATAAACCGAAAAGTGGAGAAACTGTTGTTTTTTTTGTTGTTTTTTTTGTTTTTGGCGACGGACTGGAACAGAGAGAAGTCGAAGGAAATCCAAAAAAAAAAAAAAAAAAAATGATCGGTGTGCGTATGTGGTGGGCGGTGGTGGTGGTGTGGGAAATAAGCGAGGAAGAAGAAAGCGAAGGAGGTAACAAAAAATAATAATAATAATAATAATAAAAAGAAAAAAAAAATTTGAGGGGAATGTAAACTGTTTGCTATTGGCGTAGTGGAAATGTAAGAGAATATATTAATTTGTATTTATTTTTTTTTTTTTTATTTATGGGGGGGGAGGGAGGGAAGGGGGAAGAAATAAATTGTGTGGGGATGTGCTCCAAAAGGAATAAATACATGTACGAATTGTCCGTGTGTGTGTGTGTGTGCGTGTGGAATATTGGAGAAAACAAAAACAAACAAAAGATGGGAAAGAAATCTGACGAAAAGTCAAGGAAGGATGTGTGTTTGGGAGAGGAAGGGGGCCTCCGTGTGTGTGTGTGTGTGCGTGTAACACTTTTGGGTCTTTATAACTGTCCCTAACACGCTTATCCCCCATTTTCCCTATTCGCCTTGTTGTGCATGTGAAGTAACTGCCATTGCATTTTTAGTACGTTGAGAATAACGCATATCACTTAACTTTATTATTGTAGTAGGCACTTCTCTTATTTCCTTCCTCCTTTATGCGTCCGGGGGATATTTTTAGTTTCAGAGTCAGTCACATCACAACTCAATTTTTGCTTGCCACCTTCCTGCTGGCTTCGGTGTCTTTTACCTTAATGACCGAACAAATGAACATGCAGCCACAACGAGACGTCTTCTATGATCCGGCAGAATTGCAGAAACAGCCAGTTGTTATTGTTGTGGGTGGTGGTCTTGCCGGGTTGTCTGCTGCCATCGAGGCCACCGCCTGCGGAGCCCAAGTCATCCTGCTGGAGAAGGAACCGAGGGTTGGTGGCAACAGCGCCAAGGCAACGTCCGGCATCAATGGCTGGGGCACACGCGCACAGGCAGAGCAGGATGTCTATGACAGCGGGAAGTACTTTGAGCGCGACACGCACAAATCGGGTCTCGGTGGCAGCACCGACCCCGGTCTGGTGCGCACACTCTCCGTAAAGAGCGGGGATGCCATTTCTTGGCTTTCGTCGCTTGGCGTTCCCCTGACAGTGCTTTCGCAGCTTGGTGGGCACAGCCGCAAGCGCACGCACCGTGCCCCCGATAAGGCCGACGGCACTCCTGTGCCCATTGGCTTCACCATCATGCAAACGCTTGAGCAGCACATCCGCACGAAGCTGACGGATCGCGTGACGATCATGGAAAACACTACTGTCACTTCGCTGCTGAGCAAATCCCGGGTGCGCCATGATGGTGCCAAACAGGTGAGGGTGTACGGCGTGGAAGTACTGCAGGACGAGGGGGTGGCATCAAGGATACTGGCGGATGCCGTCATTCTCGCCACCGGCGGCTTTTCAAATGACAAGACGCCCAACTCGCTTCTCCAGGAGTTTGCGCCGCAGTTGTCCGGCTTCCCTACAACCAATGGACCGTGGGCCACGGGTGACGGCGTCAAGCTTGCACGCGAGCTGGGGGTGAAGCTTGTCGACATGGACAAGGTACAACTTCACCCGACAGGCCTCATCGACCCGAAAGACCCCGCAAACCCGACCAAGTACCTTGGCCCGGAGGCGCTGCGTGGGTCGGGCGGCGTCCTGCTAAACAAGAAGGGTGAGCGGTTTGTCAATGAGCTTGACCTCCGTTCCGTGGTCTCCAACGCCATCATTGAGCAGGGAGACGAATACCCCGATTCAGGCGGTAGCAAGTTTGCCTTCTGTGTGCTCAATGACGCAGCGGTGAGGCTCTTCGGCGTGAATTCCCACGGCTTTTATTGGAAGCGCCGTGGTCTTTTTGTAAAGGCTGACACAGTGGAAGAGCTTGCGGCACTCATTGGATGCCCTGTGGAGAATGTGCGGAATACGCTGGGGGACTACGAGCAGCTCTCAAAAGAAAACCGTCAATGCCCCAAGACTCGCAAGGTTGTCTACCCGTGTGTGGTGGGACCGCAGGGTCCCTTTTATGTTGCCTTTGTGACGCCGTCGATCCACTACACAATGGGCGGCTGCCTCATTTCGCCCTCGGCAGAGATGCAGTTGGAAGAAAACACGACCTCCCCCTTTGGCCACCGCCGTCCCATTTTTGGCTTGTTTGGTGCGGGCGAGGTGACGGGCGGGGTGCATGGCGGAAACCGGCTTGGTGGCAATTCGCTGCTGGAATGCGTCGTCTTTGGCCGCATTGCTGGGGATCGTGCCGCGACTATCCTGCAGAATAATGACACTTACCTCTGGGGCGAGAAGTGGTCTCAGCTGAAGCTGCGGAATGTCGTGGAAGAAGAGAATGGATTTATGTGGTTGCACTTCACTTTCCCAAGCAGTTTTCAAGTTTCTGGATTGGAAGTCTTACAGGGGGTGGTGTTGCGTTCTGTCTCCGGTGATAAAAGTGTGGAAGTTTATACTCCATATACTTTACCTGACGATGAGGGTGTTGTGGGCATTGCGTTGAGTCCATTGCTCACTGGGAATGGGGTGCATTGGTTGCGTACACTGCAGCCGGGGGATACGGTGGAAATGAAAGCTGCTGAACGGGTGGATCGCGGTTATATGAATATGCTGAATGCTCCACATAAAGTTGTCATCGCCACCTCTCGCGGGATTGCTCCCATGATGCAAATCCTTCGGGCCGCCATGGAAGGGCCGGAGAAGGATACAACCATTCATTTAATTTACATTGCGGATCGAGCATCTTCCATTCCTCATCGTGAAAAGCTGAAGGCGTTGGCGGAGGCATCCCCTGAACGATTCCGGTGTACATTTGTTCTGCAGCACCCACAGCCCGGGTGGTCGGGTGCTGTGAACTATGTGGACGAGGTTGCTGCATCCGTGTTTCCCGACCCCGCACTCGTCATCTTTCTCTGTGGTGCCAGCGAAGAGACAAGGTCTATAAAGAGCTCTCTTCTTGACATGGGGCACGATGTCGCCACCATCGCGACTGTAGAATAGAGGTGACCCGTTCACCTCTCTCTTTCTCTCTGTCTCTCTCGTCGTCTTGTGGACGACCCTATTTTTGTTTGGTGGTGAGGCGATGGGCCGCCACCGTTTTTTTTTTTGTTATTATTTTTTGTTTGTTTGGTTGTTTTCCATTTTTTATCGTCGCAACATCATTTCTGGAGCGACAGATGAAAGAAAACTGTAGAAGGCGCACATTATTAGGAGGAAGAGCTCTCCCCCAAGAGCAAAAGACGAAAAAAAAAATTTTTTTTACTACTACTACCACCACTAATAATAATAATAATAATGATAATGCACCAAATAAGAGCGCATGGGGGAGGGGGTTCTTTAGAAGGTAAAAAAGCTTTTAAAGACTGTCCAATCTTATATATGACTGGTGGGCTGTAGGGAGTGTGGGGGAAGGAAAATAAAGCGAATTGTGCGGGGAAACCGAGAAATAAGAAAAGGGACAGAGAGGGAAAGAGGGGAAGAGGGGGATTTCAAAGAAATAATAATAGAAATGTGAGAATAAATCATTGTTTGGTTTTATATAACTTTATTTTATTGTTTTTTACTCACTCTTTTTTTTTTCTGTTATTTTACCAGTTCGTACGTGCAGGATGCCACCAGGGAGGGGGTGCGTAAATAAAGATGAAGGTTCTCCGAGGGAGAGAACGCTAAGGAACATAAGAGTGACTGCTTCGTGTGTGTCTGTGTGTGTGTGTGTGTGTGTGTGGGAGGCACGTGGTACTCGGTGTGTTTATTTGCCTCATCATTGACTTTTGTGTTGTTTTATTCTTTTGGATCTTTTGTGTTGCTGCGTGTGTACGTATGTGTAGCCTCGAAGTACTCACGGGTGAAGGCAGAAGGCATTTATCAGAAGGTAGTTCCGCTTCGAGGTGGGCAGAGCACAAGAGAAGTCATGCCGCGGGGAGGGGGCGCCGATACCTTTGTCATATGGCCGTCCTTCTACCGCTGAGGCCACCCCGCCCTTCTCACTTGTGCCGAAAAGGAGGCCGATAGGGGATCGAGTGACAGAGTGAACGTGTCGTGAGGAACACACAAGTTAAAGATGCCTCTTCCACCTTTTCTTCTTCCTCTTTGCCCACCGCTGGCAACGGCGTTCCTTCCGCCGTTGTTGGTGTTTCTTTTCTTCCGGCCACCTCCATTTATTACGGGGAGACGGCTCGCAACAAGCATCAGTGCCACCTTCAATGGGAGTGTGACTCACAAGAAGAATGAGGTGAGGACAAATAACAGCGATGGAAACCGAACGAGAGCACACAGGGATTGCGACACCCGTGCGTAGACGCCGCACCTTCAAGTGCAGTAGAAGGAGGTAGGAAAAAAAGGAAGTACGCCCCTATCACTGCCGTCGTTGTACATCCGCTGAAAACATGAACGTGGGGTGGTAATGCTTTTTTGTGTGTTTGTGGCTTTGATCCCTTGTTCCCCGCGTATTGTTTCTTTATTTTTTTTTCTCTCTTTCTCTTTTACTTTTTCTTTATTTTTCATTGTCTCTCGTGCCATTTTTTGGACAGAGGGGGCCTCACGCCCGCCACGTGAACTAGTTAATAGCATCCAAGCGCCATGACACGCTCCGTCTCTCTTCTTGTGCTTCACCAAGGCGCTCAGCACATGCGTGTATCAGTCAGTATCCTCTTTTGATTTACATCGGCATTGAATGCACGGGATGGGCGGTCGTTTTTCATATGAATGTAGACCTTCAAAGGAACAATACGAAAAATTGGTGCACCGATCTTTCGCATCAAACAACAAAAACTCACCACATCAGACAGAAATGGTGGTGTTAAGGCCTAATACGTCCGATAAACATGCTCTTATTGTATGTAAAACATACACTAACAGGAAGATATAACCTTCTCATCGATAGGGTCACACCTTCACGCAGTTTTGCGGATTTGGTTGTATACATGAAGTTTGCAGCAGGGCATTGCTGCGGGCGTGACGGGGACCACGGCGGCGTCACCCCTCGAGAAGGTCCCATGCACTGTCGGTTGTGGAGCGGCGAGGCGGTTTGCCTGCAGCCCGACTGACAGAACCGCACAGTCGTTTCATTGCGGTCACTTTGCCGCCATCACCCGCTGCGGTGGTGTCCGCAAGAGCCGCATCTCAGAACTTTAGGTCGTTCGCCCTTCAGGATTGCCCTTGCTGCTTGACTGGCGCAGCATCAGCGCGAAATGGCTCTTCTGCATGAGAGCAGGCACCAGAGTGCCAGCGACGAGGTTCATTGTCTGCATTGACTTCCACCAGGCCTGCAGTGGGCGTGCCGCTGGCGTGGCCTTCGTTGTGCGCCACACCTTTCCGTGCGAGCGCCTGTCGCTGCTGGAACCAACTGCCTGGAGACCACCGCCCTCCGCGTGTGCCCACCTGCCAGCCCCAGCATGTGCGTGGTGAACCTCTGCAGCCTCCCTACAGTAATTGCTCATGCTGCTCACTTTGCGAGCGACATTCGTCGCTTAGGCCTCGCAGCGGTTATTTGCGACCTGAATTCACACCATGAGCTCCGGGACGGTTGCTCACCATCCACGACGGCAGGAGAGGACCTCGCCACCACCTCAAGCGGCATGGAGTGTGAGCTGTCCGACGACCCGGCACAGGCAACGCGGATCAGCGGCCGCAGCGTCTCGTTTCCCAATGTGAATTCGCAACGCGTGCTGCATGTCTCCCACTGTACTTCCACCCGTTTACATGGGCTCGGACCACCATCTGCCATCCCACACTGCAGGGACGGAGGACGGCATCCCGCGACAGGCAGGCATGCTGCCACAACGGAAACATGTCGTCTTTTTCCTGCGTGAGCTGACTGTGATGCTTCCACCTCGGCGTGTGGAACACCTCTGGCCACTGTGACCACATGGTTGGAGATGCGCAAAGGCACCTTACCGCGCGGCAGTCGTGACAGACCAGAGGAATCACGACGGACGGAATGTAGCAGGCCGAGTCTGTTGCGGCGACAGCATGCAACGAGCGTACTTTCTTACCGGGAGGCAGCCTGCCCCGAGCTGAACTGCTCCGCAAATGGGAGGAACGCAATCATGCCCTCCTCTGTGTTTTCTCCATGCTGCCAGACGCCCGTGCGAAACAGCCTGGTACTCTCTCGAGCCCAAGCCTGTGATGCTCCGAGGCATGGCGGCACCACGTCCCTGCCCTCTGGGATCGGCTGTGCTGCGGTGCTCTTGGGACCGCGTCTGTGCTCTGCCTCTGCAGCAGGCAACCAGCTCGTCCGTCACACTGTCCGCGTCGCACTTGCTGCGATCCTCACTGTTGTCCGCACACCTTGTGCTTGTGTGCCCTCTGGTGACTGGAATATGAATTGGCCCTTCACGCCGTGTGTGCCTGACTCGGCCATCCGCGACTGTTTGCCTGGCATGGCCCCTGGACCCGTCGGCGTATTGAATGTGTTTCACCGCCTTCTTGCACCCGCTGCCCGCACAGAACGATTATCAATACCTCCCTCGCCGACGGCAGCCTGCGAGGTTCCCGGGAAAAGAGGGACACCACTTCCATCCGCGAACGCGGGAAGGACACATGCCGCACAGGGAGAGTTGCCGGCCCGTCCCGCTGCTCTCTGCCCTGCTAGGGGTGAGCGAAGGACTGGTCCACCGTCGCCGTCACCGTTCTCTCGCCGTCCGGATCGGCATCTCGACTGCATTAGACACCGTTGACGATGGGTGAGTGCTGGCCGTGCTCGACGGGCTACCGCGCCCGGGCCGTCGCTCCCAACGCTGGTAGCGCAATCACCTGCGAGGCGGCTGCGTTGGGGTGTGTGCTCGCCGAGAATATTCCTGACTGCGGCTCGCCTCAGCCGTGGCAGCTCAATGCGGCTTCCTTGGGCCGCAGCTCCTACTCCACCGCGTGGATGGTCTGTTGCGCCGCCTGTACAGCATTCACTTTGCGTCGGCGTTCATTCACGCTGACGGCCGCACGCTTGTTGCCTTGTGTGCAGACATCCGTGTCCGTGCTGCGGCAATGCCAACTGTCGTTTCCCTTGTGGCCACATTTGCTGCCGAGCACAGCCTGAATATCAACGCGGACAGGAGCGGGGACGCTCTGTTCTGCATCGCCTCACACCGACAGTCTGACGAGGACACGGCCGACCATCGCCCAGACGATGGGAACCAACGCGTCAAGTCCCACCCGGTGCGTCTGCTCGGCAATGCGATTGGTCGACACCTCAATTTTGGTTTGCATGTCACCGTCGCTGCAAGGCAGACCGTGCCACGCCGCCATCAGCTGCGGCTGGATGCAGAGGCTGGTGCGTCCCAGCACACCACGGCGGCGAGGCAATCGCACCGTGTCCGGCCCCCATTCACCTCCACGGCCTGGAAGTGCGGCACCGCGACAGCTGCACAGCATCGCTCGGCCCACGCGCAGCAAAGAAGGATACTTCTGTCCACCTGGCCGCCAATCCAGCACCGCTGCAGAGGATCATTGGGTTCTGCGCACCCACACAACACGAACGCCTCACTTTTCCGATTTATTGAGGACGTGCGTGGCGCAATCTGATTGGAGGCCATTCCTTTGTCAATACTAGGGAATGCAGCGACGGCATCGAACGCGCTTACGAGAGATGCTGTTGTTAATGGATTGCGCCGCGTATGTAACATTATTGGGATATTCCACAAACACAATCGTGCTCCTCCTATTCAACATAGAATTTTCCTCTGGGACACTGTGAGCTGCAATAAAGTGGAATTTAATCAGCCACGCTTTGCCCAAGACGCCTCTGACGACGTCAAGCGCACGGCTCTTGATTCTATTTACTCCTCTCTGGGAGAGTATGATTTTGAATTATGGACAGACGTTTCTTCATCTCTCGCTGAGCTCGCATCTGGATCCGCTGCACTATTGTATGGCTCCACCACAACTGATCTCCCTGTGGAGGTCCATAGTGCAGCAGCTGGCAGGCTCGCATCCTCATATAGAGCGGAGTGCCTTGCCACTGAAAATGGCATTAGACATCTCATACCTTTTTGTCTGGAAACATCCCAATCGCCCACACGAATCCTGGTGGCAACGGACTCCCTGTCGATAACTGAGGCACTCCGCGTCGTTCCACTGGCCGTGCGAGACTACGTCACTGAAGAGATTTGGATTATGCTGCTCTCCTTGATACAGCGAGGTCACTCTGTAGACTTCATGTTCTCTCCATCGCACTGCGGTATCCCACGCAATGAGGCTGCTGACGACGAGGCCATGATTGCACGATCCCTCCCGCAGGAGGGCAGCCCCATCTGGCACGTGGAATTCCTCTCTGCAGTCAGGTGGCCGTACTGGAGGGATGCCCAGAAGAAAAGGAACGGCGCGTACACCGCATAAGAGGCGCCTGTCGGTGTGGCAGGGACTCTATTCCTGGCACGACCCGGACATCGCGCCACGAGCGGCGGCTCTGCGCACAGGCACGGTGCGACTCCTGCCCACTCCTCGACACGCCTGCGCGTGCCCTCCGTATCACAAATAACCCTCTGTGTTGGTGGTGCCGTCCCTTCCTCACTGAGGAGACCGGCCCGCCGCTGCCTCCGCCAGAACCTCTTCCCGACGTGAGCACCGCAAATCCTTGTCGACCAGCGAGCGGCGGATTGATTTCCTCCTGCCCAACCTGCAGCATAGTCTGCGCTCGTCCGTCCACAATATGAGGGCACATGCCCGACGTGCTCAGCCTGGCGTTCCGATAGTTTGAGAAGGCCTTGGATGTGGATGCCACAATGGCGCCAGCGTCTTCTGAACAGGCGCCTCGCGCACAGTTCGCCACAGAAAGTTCCAAGCACGCCAGCAGGCAAAACACGCAGGAAGCACAAACGCATGTACTCGAGACGGACCACGAAAGACTTCGCTTTATCCACTGCAGAAATGCCCCCGTCGTTGGGAACTGGGAATGTGAGTGTTTGGGAGTGCCCCAGCCCGCACGACGGCACGTTTCGGACGGAATGCTTGCCACTTTTGTACGGACGGCCCTTGCGCTACTCACTCGTTATTGTAGCAGCATACAGCAAAAACAAGATAAAAAACTGCTTTGCGATGAATATTGGCTGCGATTCCCGTGGACCAACAATCCACGTGGTGTGCGGGGATATTCTTTTTTTATTGTTACTTTGCTTTTGTGTTGCTGTGCGCGCTGCACCTCCTCTTGTGTTTGTGTGTACCCTCCGTGAGGGGTGCAGACACGACGGACCGCTCTCGCCGCATGTGCATGCGGTGGAGCCTTGTGTGCCGCTCCTGTTTGCTTCTCCCTCTTCCATCTGTGTGTTGGTGTTGCGGCAGGGCTGTTTGTGTGCCTGGCTGCTGCCCTCTCCTCATGTGGTGTGCCCTCTGTGTGTGTCTGCCGCACCTCTCGTCTCCCCTGTTGCTCTCCATTTCCCTCACCGTGCAGATCAGCTCCACACCACTGAACGACCACACTCACGATGATGATGACGTGCCGTCTGCTGTGCGCCCTGTTGGTGCTCGCCCTGTGCTGCTGACCGTACGTATGCGCGGCAGGGAGTGGAGATAAAACTGGTGAACCTGGAGAAACTCCAACGCCCCAGGATTCAGTGGTTTCAAACGATTCCGACAATACACGAGCAAAAGTCACGGAAGATAATGGACAGAGTTCAGATAAGGAGGCCGATTCGTCAGAGAGACCACCGAAGACCGTCTCTGCGTCACCAACTCCATCTCCGACAGGTACAGGAGAAGAAGGACCAAGTAGAGCGCCCACTTTGCAAGATGGAAGAGGTGCGTCTGGTCAGCCAGGGGCATTAGAAGAAAATATCATTTCACCAGGATCAACAGGTGATTCCGATAAGCCAGATGTAAATCGGGAGCATAATAAAGAAGTGGCACTAGCCGGTAAAGAGGTTAAGGAACAGGCACCAACCACGAAAACCACAACGACCACAACAACAACAACAACAACCACTGCGCCAGAGGCACCAAGTGATACGGCCATGAATGCAGAGGCTCCAACCACGACGACTTCCCGCGCACCGTCACTTCTTCGCGAAATCGACGGCAGCCTCAGCAGCTCTGCGTGGGTGTGTGCCCCGCTGGTGCTTGCCGTATCCGCGCTGGTGTACACCACTGTGGGCTAAAGAGGTGTATGCGAACCGTGCGTTCCAGTACTCAACCGCGGGGATTTGTGCGCGTCTACTGTGGTCCGAAGTATAAAGTAAGAGAAAGTAATGATTTTGTTTTTTGCTTTCGCTGCCCTGCTGTGTGCTCCGGGTTGCTTCTCCACATTCGTCACGTTGAACGCAACCCAGACACACTCATATGCATGCACACTGGAGTCTTGGGTTTGTTTTTAATTTTTCGTTTTCTTGCTGTTTAACCTTGTGGTTTTCAGTGCGGCGTGCATTTTCTGCAATCGTGCTGATCCAAACTATCTCGTCCTGTGTGCTCTGCTTCTGTGTACTCTGTGGTGTACCGTCGTGGTTTTTTGACGTGTCTCTTTATTCTTGCTCTGCGTTGACGTGTTGTTGGTTTGTGCTGAAGGCTGCACGCAAGTGACAGGAGTGATGGCGATGTTGATGGCTGGCCGTGTGCTGCTGGTGTGTGCCCTCTGCGTGCTGTGGTGCGGTGCGGTGTTTGGACACGCGATGGAGGATTACTGCAGCGAGGGTGGAGGGAACGGTTTGAGGCACACGAGTAATGGTGGAGATGACGGCGTGTCTCTAAAGGCGGACTGCGGGTTGTTATCGACTCGAATGGCATTAATAAATGCGGTTGAGGCTGCGGAAGCTGGAGAAAAACCGAGTCGTCCAGACCCGCCTCAGGATACGGAGGAATCATTACCTGATAATAAATTGGGCAATAATGCGAATGGCACTGGAGCGCCTGATTCAGGAGGAGGTAGTGTCTCAGTTCAACCAGCAGGAATACCGCCGACGCCTAAAGGATCAGATAAAGAAGAAAAGGGTAAGAAACCCGAAGTGGAGGATACAAGTGGTGAAAAAGTAGCAGGAGATCAGGAACAAAAGGACGGTACGACAACTGGGCCCCAACTCCAAAGAGCTGATCAATTGTCTTCTTCATCATCTGGCAGCTCTGACACTGAGGGTGTCAAGCGACCCTCTTCGAAGGAAAATTCAGAGATTAGTGAATCCTCCGATAACCCGCCGCAAGAAGAAGGAGAAAAAGATCTTGGCAGTGCATCTGACAGTCATGAAGAGGAGGCGGAAGAAAAAGAAACCGAAGGAGACCAAAAAAACGCAGGCAATCAGGCACCAACGGAGAAACGTGGAGATGCGGCCAAACACACAGAAATACAAAAAGCAACAACAGAACCGAATGGACAGTCCAGCCCTGAGGCTTTAGAGGGTGTGAAACAGTCAGAAGAAGTCCAAAGCGAAAAGGACTCAAAAAACAATCCACAAACAAAGAGCGTTGACTCCATCGCAGCCAATCAACAGAATGGACCATCTGCCGACCATGGAGAATCAGGGCTACCTTCACCCACGGCAAACGGTGATGCTGCCAATAATGAAGCTGACAATAGCACTGAAGACGGCATCCCGAACAGTGATCCAGCAGCTGATGGCGCAGGGACACGAGAAGAAAAACAAAATGAAAATAAAGATGCCAATCCGAAAGAAACACCAGTGACGGCCGCAGCCATGAAAACTACGACGGCGACGACTGGCGACAGTGACGGCAGCACCGCGGTCTCCCACACCACCTCCCCTCTTTTGCTTCTTCTTGTTGTTGCGTGTGCGGCTGCGGTGGTGGCCGCGTGAGAGTGAGTGTGAGAGAGCCGTGCACCGCCCGCACACACACTCGTCCTTCTCTCTGTGTGTGTGTCCCCTTGCATGGACTCTCGCCCTCACCTCACCCCACGAAGCACACACATAATGTGCCCATTGTATATATGCATGCACACCCATGCAGGCCCGTTGGTGCTCTCTTTTGCACGACACGCACCGCTGCCGTCCTGCCTGGCTACATGGGCGGAGCACCGTAACTGTTTCTGTTTTGTTTTTATTGCATTGAGTGGGCGACCTCTCTCTCTCTCCCTCTGTGTGTGTGTTTTGCTTTACGGGAGTAATGAGAGTGTGTGTGCGCTGGTCGTCCCACGCTTCGGCTTTTTGTTTTTCATTATTTTTTGGTTGAGCGCACCCATTATTTCTTGTTTTTGAATTGGTGTTTTTTTTTGATTGCGTACGCCTAATTTCTTTTATTTCATTTTTTCCTCTTTGAGATATTGTCCGTGTTTCTTATTCTTCTCAAGCCATGAAGTATTCTTTTAAACGTACAGCATGTTTCAGTTGATCCACGTCACCCCACGGTCTGCAGTGCTGCTGGTGCTTCTGTTTGTGATGTGTTGTGCCAGCGGGTGCTTTGCTGCCAGCCTGACGTGCTCCTGCCCCTCTGACAAGGCGATGCGTGCCCACAGGGCGAAGTCGATCGCGGCTGTGGTGAGGGACGTGCCCCTTGGATCTGAGGGTGCGTCGCAGACATGCACCGTCATTGGGAGGAGTGGATGGGCGCCCACCCGCATCAATGTATCGACAATGGACCCGGATGATGCCAGGAAGTATTGCAGCTCAGAGCGCCATTGCGCAATGAATTCATTGGTGGCAATTGCGAGTGTGAAGGTGACGTTTTTCTATGCTGAGAAAAGGGAAGTATTTGTTTCGTTATACTTTGCAGCCACTGTTCGCTAATGGCCTGCGGGCTGTCCGTAGCGATGTGGCCAGTTTTTCCTTCTTGAACGATGCTGTCGTGCGAAAGGGTGTGCTCCCAAATAGTCGGATGCTCAGTTGTCGAGGACGGGGGCATTCCCACAGCGTGTGCGGCGGGGCCTCCCGTGAATTGTCGCGGCTCAGCGGCTGGTGGGGTTTGCAGCAGAGGAGTGGCTGAAGGGCTACGGCTGTCATTGGAGCATGCAGAGGTGCGTTGTCCGTTTTTTGCTCGTTGATACGCTTGAGATTTTCGGTAGTGACCTGCGCGTGAGGCACTTGTGGGGAGACCGTGGAGCTGTCGCAGAATCCACATGTGAGGCCTTCTGCAACGATTGGAGTGCCAGGGTTAGTGCGTCGGGCGTGTGCCTCCATATTGTGGACGGACAAGAAGACGCTGCTGCAGCTTGGGCAGGGCGACTTTGATCTGCTGCTCGTCGTTCTACGAGGAGGTGCCGTGGACATGCCAGGTGGAGATTCCGGAGGAGGTCGAGGCGGTCCTGCCTCTTCAGTGTGAGAGGGCAGCACCACCAACATAAAGGGTTGCTTGTGATCTGCAGGGCGCGTGCCGGTCTGCCGAGGAGTGGGCAGGAGGACGTCAATCAGCCGCTCGCTGGTCGGCAAGGAGTGGCGGTGCTCACGTCGGGAAGAGGTTCTGGCGGAGGCAGCGGCGGGCCGGTCTCCTCAGTGAGGGAGGGACGGCACCACCAACACAGAGGGTTATTTGTGATACGGAGGGCACGCGCAGGCGTGTCGAGGAGTGGGCGGGAATCGCACCGTGCCTGTGCGCAGAGCCGCCGCTCGTGGCACGATGCCCAAGTCGTGCCAGGAATAGAGTTCCTGCCACACCGACAGGCGCCTGTCACGCGGTGTACGCGCCTTCCTTTCTCCTGGGCATCCCTCCAGTACGGTCACCTGACTGCAGTGAAAAAATCCACGTGCCAGATTGGGCCGCCCTCCTGCGGGAGGGATCGTGCAATCATGGCCTCGTCGTCAGCGGCCTCATTGCGTGGGATACCGCAGTGCGATGGAGAGAACATGAAGTCTACAGAGTGACCTCGCTGTATCAAGGAGAGCAGCATAATCCAAATCTCTTCAGTGACGTAGTCTCGCACGGCCAGTGGGGCAGCGCGGAGTGCCTCAGTTCTCGACAGGGAGTCTGTTGCCACCAGTATTCGTGTGGGCGATTGGGATGTTTCCAGACAAAAAGGTATGAGATGTCTAATGCCATTTTCAGTGGCAAGGCACTCTGCTCTATATGAGTATGCGAGCCTGCCAGCTGCTGCACGATGTACCTCCACAGGGAGATCGGTTGTCGTGGTGGAGCCATACAATAGTGCAGCGGATCCAGATGCGAGCTCAGCGAGAGAGGAAGAAACGTCTGTCCATAATTCAAAATCAAAACCTCCCAGAGAGGAGTAAATGGAATCAATATCCGTGAGCTTGACGTCGTCAGAGGCGTCTTGGGCAAAGCGTGGCTGATTAAATTCCACTTTATTGCAACGCACAGTGTCCCAGAGGAAATTGCGATGTTGAATAGGAGGGGCACGATTGTGGCTGTGGGGTATCCCAATAATACTACATACCCGTCGCAATCCATTAACAACAGCATCTCTCGGAAGCGGGATCGATAACGCCGCTTTTCATGCATGGACGGCGGAATGGCCTCCAATCAGATTGCGCCACGCACGTCCTCAATACATCGGAGAAGTGTGAGGCGTTCGTGTTGTGTGGGTGCGCGGAACCCAATGATCCTCTGCAGCGGTGCTGGATTGGCGGCCAGGTGGAAAGAAGTATCCTTCTTTGCTGCGCGTGGGCCGAGCGATGCTGTGCAGCTGTCGCGGTGCCGCACTTCCAGGCCGTGGAGGTGAATGGGGGCCGGACACGGTGCGATTGCCTCGCCGCCGTGGTGCAACGCACTATGGACGCACCCAACCAGAAAGGATCGCGTGGTTTGCCGGGACGCACCAGCCTCTGCACCCAGCCGCAGCTGATGGCGGCGTGGCACGGTCCGCATCGCAGCAACGGTGACGTGCACACCAAAATTGAGGTGTCGATCAATCGCATTGCCGAGCAGACGCACCGGGTGGGACTTGACGCGTTGGTTCCCATCGCCCAGACGATGGTCGGCCGTGTCCTCGTCAGACTGTCGGTGTGAGGCGATGCAGAACAGAGCGTCCCCGCTCCTGTCCGCGTTGATCTTCAGGCTGTGCTCGGCAGCAAATGTGGCCACAAGGGAAACGACAGTTGGCATTGCCGCAGCACGGACACGGATGTCTGCACACAAGGCAACAAGCGTGCGGCCGTCAGCGTGAATGAACGCCGACGCAAAGTGAATGCTGTACAGGCGGCGCAACAGACCATCCACGCGGTGGAGTAGGAGCTGCGGCCCAAGGAAGCCGCATTGAGCTGCCACGGCTGAGGCGAGCCGCAGTCAGGAATATTCTCGGCGAGCACACACCCCAACGCAGCCGCCTCGCAGGTGATTGCGCTACCAGCGTTGGGAGCGACGGCCCGGGCGCGGTAGCCCGTCGAGCACGGCCAGCACTCACCCATCGTCAACGGTGTCTAATGCAGTCGAGATGCCGATCCGGACGGCGAGAGAACGGTGACGGCGACGGTGGACCAGTCCTTCGCTCACCCCTAGCAGGGCAGAGAGCAGCGGGACGGGCCGGCAACTCTCCCTGTGCGGCATGTGTCCTTCCCGTGTCTGTGGATGCGAGTGGTGTCCCTCTTTTCCCGGGAACCTCGCAGGCTGCCGTCGGCGAGGGAGGTATTGATAATCGTTCTGTGCAAGCAGAGGGCAGCGGGTGCAAGATGGCGCAGAAACTCATTCAATACGCCGACGGGTCCAGGGGCCACGCCAGGCAAACAGTCGCGGATGGCCGAGTCAGGTACACACGGCGTGAAGGGCCAATTCATACCTCAGTCACCAGAGGGCACGCAAGCACAAGGTGTGCGGACAACAGTGAGGATCGCAGCAAGTGCGACGCGGACAGTGTGACGGACGAGCGGGTTGCCTGCTGCAGAGGCAGAGCACAGACGCGGTCCCAAGAGCACCGCAGCACAGCCGATCCCAGAGGGCAGGAACGTGGTGCTGCCATGCTTCGGAGCACCACAGGCTTGGGCTCGAGAGAGTACCAGGCTGTTTCGCACGGGCCTCTGGCAGAATGGAGAAAACACAGAGGAGGGCATGATTGCGGTCCTCCCGTTTGCGGAGCAGTTCAGCACGGGGCAGGCTGCCTCCCGGTAAGAAAGTACGCTCGTTGCATGCTGTCGCCGCAACAGACTCGGCCTGCTCCATTCCGTCCGTCCAGATTCCTCTGGTCTGTCACGACTGCCGCGCGGTACAGTGCCTTTGCGCATCTCCAACCATGTGTTCACAGTGGCCAGAGGTGTTCCACACGCCTAGATGGAAGCATCACAGTCGGCTTCACGCAGGAAAAGGGCGACATGTTTCCGTTGTGGCAGCATGCCTGCCTGTCGTGGGATGCCGTCCTCCGTCCCTGCAGTGTGGGATGGCAGATGGTGGTCCGAGTCCATGTAAACGGGTGGACGTACAGTGGGAGACATGCAGCACGCGTTGCGCATTCACATTGGGAAACGAGACGCTGCGGCTGCTAATCCGAGTTGCCTGTGCCGGGTCGTCAGAAAGCTCACACTCCATGCCGCTTGGGGTGGTGGCGAGGTCCTCTCCTGACGTCGTGGATGGTGAGCGACCGTCCCACAGCTCATGGTGTGAATTCAGGTCGTCCGCAATAGGTGCTGCAGGACCAAGACGACGAATGTCGCTCGCAAAGTGTGAAACGTGAGCAATTACTGTAGGAAGGCTGCAGAGGTTCACCACGCACATGCTGGGGCTGGCCGGTGGGCACACGCGGAGGGCGGTGGTCTCCAGGCAGTTGGTTCCAGCAGCGGCAGGCGCTCGCACGGAAAGGTCTGGCGCACCAATAGGGCCACGCCAGCGGCACGCCCACTGCAGGCCTGGTGGAAGTCAATGCAGACAATGAGCCTCGTCGCTGGCACTCTGGTGCCTGCTCTCCTGCAGAAGAGCCATTTCGGGCCGGTGCTGCGCCAGTCAAGCAGCAAGGGCAATCCTGAGGGGAGAACGGCCTAAAGTTCTGAGGTGCGGCTATTGAGGACACCACCGCAGCGGGTGATGCCGATGGAGTGACCGCAACGAAACGACTGTGCGGTTGTCAGTCGGGCTGCAGGCAAACCGCCTCGCCGCCCCACAACCGACAGAGCGTGGGATCTTCTCGAGGGGTGACGCCGTCGTGGTCCCCGTCACGCCCGCAGCAATGCCCTGCCGCAATCGCTCGCACAGAGAGACAATAAAGAGTGTGTGGATTTGTGCCGAGAACACAGCGACTGTCACCTCCAGAGAAGGCCATCGTGGCATCGTCCGTCACGCGTCAGCACACACCAAGCAACGCACGTACCCGGGAAAGAAAACACACAGGAGAAAGAAGAATGGTCCCAAGAGCAGGCAACACCTTCACACATGGCGGGCATCGTGCAGTGGCGTCAGTCGGCCACAAGCGCAATGCAACAAACGTACCACACGCATCCATCCAATGACACCGTGATTCCCACTGCTAACGGTAGACACGCAGCGACCATACTATGTCAGCACGGGATGCAGGCCAACGTCCCACCGTCACCAAGACATTCCTGCAGAGCACCGTGCAACTAAGTATATATATGTGTGTGCTGGAGGAGCAGAAGAGAAGAGGAGAACAGGGAGGCACATCAACACAGCAACAGGCACAACTGGAGAGCAGCGACAAATGCGGTACGGCCCCAACCTCAACAATCACACACGGTGGCAACAAATACAAAAGCAAAAAAACAAAACAAATCCTTAAAGAAAAACACGGCGGCAGGGTGTGGCTGTGTGTGTGGCGCTGCGGGTGTCTGCCCGCCCTGGCCGCAAAGAAAACAAAACAAGAGGGAAGAAATGTGTGCTCCGCCCCACAGGCCCTCGTCGCACGCCCACACGTCACGGCTCCCTCAGCGCGCCGTTCGTCGCGGCCCCTCCTCATGCGTGCAGCAGGCGAGGCGCACAGGGCCGTCGTCATGAGCGTGTCGGTGGGTGTGCGAGTGGAGCAGTTGGGCGGGAACACACGGCACCCCTCACAAAAAGAGTGCAGCAACAAACAATTAAAGAGGGAAGAGTAGAAAAGAAAAAACACGTCCATAGCGATTGCCCCCAAAAGCAAAAAGAAGAGATGGGGCAGTGAGAGATAAAAGCAAAAAAATTAAAAAACAAAAAAAAAACAAAAGAAAAAAGAAATGAAGAAAAAAATCACACAACCAGAAAAAACGAAAAAACATTTAAAATAATTTAAAGCAAACAGCAAAGAAAAATTGAAAACACTTAAAACAATCATAAGAGGACAAAAAACAGAAACAGTTACGGTGCTCCGCCCATGCAGCCAGGCAGGACGGCAGCGGTGCGTGTCGTGCAAAAGAGAGCACCAACGGGCCTGCATGGGTGTGCATGCATATATACAATGGGCACATTATTGTGTGTGCCTCGTGGGGTGAGGTGAGGGCGAGAGTCCATGCAAGGGGACACACACACAGAGAGAAGGACGAGTGTGTGTGCGGGCGGTGCACGGCTCTCTCTCACACTCACTCTCACGCGGCCACTACCGCAGCAGCCGCACACACAACAACAACAAGAAGAAGCAAAAGAGGGGAG